GTATACTGTCTTCTTTGCAACAGTAGGGTGTGCCAAGGTGGATGGCCAGAGGTTGGCTTCTTCTAGAAGCTGACGGTATTCAATTTTTGGATATTTCCGGGCAATGCAAAGAAGCAGACGCTTCTGCTGACGTGTCAATACTGGTGGCCTGCCACTGCGAGGGCGTGACTCATTGTTGTTGTGGGTGTTCCATTGGGCAAGTGTTTTCTGGATGCAGCGTTGTGAACAGCCAAGTGTTGCTGCAACTTCAGAGGTCCTGCAACCTGCCTCCACTGAAGCTATCACATAATCGCACTCGTGCTCTGATAATTCAGCACCAGGCCTTCGATTGGCTGAAATTTCAGTTCCAAAAGCTCTCATTTGTGTGGTACAGTGTAGGGGTGAAGTTGTTCTCTACCTGGCGCAGTTCCGTTGTTGCGTTGCGCACAGGCCTTACGCGAACAGACTAAAGTCTTAGTACTGTAAGTACCGCACATAGGCAAGCACTACGCTTTTACTAATACTATGAATACACTAAATATATCACAATGCTTATGGACAAGATCAACAAGGCCTCTAAGTCTAAGCAAACGGAAGCGGACCGCTACCTATTCAACGACGTCAACGCGACTTGAAACCATATCGGCTCTTGACCGGAATATCGATGGTGCGGGGCTCGACAGTCATTTCCATATCTGCGAACAAATCTCGTACGAGAGGCGAAGAAATGGGTGGAAAGTCATCATGGTGGCGAATTCCAGGCTAGTTGGTCTACGCGAGCTAAATATTTGTTAGCTTACTGTCGTAGACAGATCTATGTAGGTAAAAGGTCGGTCTCATCCGCCAATAATTGTGTTATTATCTGACGGTTTTGAGTAGCGATCCTCATCTTCGAAGCGTCTGCGCTCTCACCACGGCGCCGTCAAGCCCTTCTCCTATGTCATTGAGGAGAACAAGGACGACGACGACGATGACTTTGGTGAGGGGACTCCAGGTGACATGGATATCTGCGTTCAGTGTGCTGTTAACCTTGCTAACAGTGTTAGCAACTGCATTGTCAATAACGAGTCTTGGGCGTAAACGGACCAGAACGTGCACAGCGGAGGAGCAAAGTAACTCCCTAGACTTGTGTTAATAGTGTGATTGTGAAGTTACATACAGCATGCTTCCACAGAACCGGAAGACTCAACCAGACTAGTTGGACTGCGTCTACTCACCATCCATTACCATTTCCTAGGTCGATTCTTCCTCCTCCTCACCTATCGACACATCATCTTCTCCACCTTCATTGTACAGCAGCATCTGAGCGCGGGCACGACAGTTCTGACAGGGAGGGTCAACAAGCTCGCCGTCATTACTGCAGAAGAAGGACAGCTTCACCCGGTGATCGCCATAGCCCTGACACCACACATAGCGTGAGAGGATCACTTTTGCAACCTCTTGAGTGGACAGTTTTGGCAAACCAGCCGCCTCCTGTAGTCCTTGCTGATAATCCTTAATGCAGTACTTGCAGACAATATCATCAGTAGCAAGATCAACAGCACCGTACTCGTCATCAGCGCGAGGGGATGGGCAAGTTGCGCACGTGAACCGGCCATCATACTGGTGGCTTTTTTGCTGGAAGCCCTGTGGTGCCGCACTCCCTTCAGGGTCACCGCCGCTGCCTTTGCCGCTGTCTCCATCCTCTCTACCATTATTGCCCATCTTGCTATCTCCCGCAGGAAGTGCGGCCGGTTCGCTTGCGCCGAAGTCATATAGAATGAAAGAGCCGTACTTGCCAGGCTCGGAGGACGGATGAATAGGGAGGACAAACGTGGGGTAGCCGCCTGGAGGTGGCGATGGGAGGGAAGGCGGCAGCTTGTCATCCTCGTTGTCAATTTCAGCAGCAGGCTTGGTGCGGTATTGGTCGCGCTCTTGTGTAGACAGTCCTGCAATGGACTTTACATGTTAGCTGATGAAATAGCAAGGCAAAAGGACTGACTACTTAGCGTCAATCTCCTGGGGTTTGCGACGCATCTCATCTTTCGCTCTCGTTGTTTACGTCTTGACATACGACAGGCCTGGCGAAAAGTCGCCCTTGTCAGTGATGTTGAGGACCACACGGTCAAGGGAGAGACCTTGAGCCTTGTAAATAGTGATGGCATAGCCCAAGACAAGAGGGAATTGAATGCGGGCGCACTGAGTGCCACTCTTGACCCACTCACGTTGGCTGGGGAAGATGGGCACAAGCTTCTCACCGTCTCGCTCCAAGAGGTATGGACCATTGCAATCATCAAAAGCAACAAGGAGAGCAAGGGGAATTTACGTACGTCGGTCCTCAGTGCCTTCCGCCCCAGACAAAATCACGGATATGTCCAAAGGAGTCATTACAAAATCAGCTCTCAGTTCAAAGTTCTCAGTCAACATAACACAAGAGTTGATGGACACGTGGAACAAAGCCTGGAGGTTGCCAGCAACCTTGACCTCTGCACTAGCAGTCTCTGAATTGCCCTCATGACGAGCCTTGATAGGAAGAACTGGCGTGTCAAGCAATGCGAGCTTCTCGTAGTTGAATGTCCGCATCTCATCCTTCTTCCCAAAGAGCCGAACAGCCGAGTCAAACAGGGTGAGATCTTCACCACGACGGACGCAGTTACGCTTGAAACGCGTTGTCAGAAGCTCCCAGCCCTTGCGCAAATACTCACCAAACCGAACGGGATTGAGAGCAGCGCGGAAGCTCTCTTGACTTGTACCACGTTGACGCATGACTTGATCAAGATGGATAGTGCGATTAAAGTCCCTGTAACGCTGTTGACCAGCTGCGAGTTCAATGTTGTCATTGATTATGTCATTGTTAAAAAGAACCCGACCAGCAACAGGTGGTAGCTGACAGAAGTCTCTCATCAAGATGACGTGGAAAGCAGCGAAAGGCCTGGATGCCAGGCGAGGCCTAATCCCGCAGCAACGCATGTAGATGTAGTGGAGCATCTTCAGGTCAATCATAGATTTCTCGTCAATGACAATGAACTGCACGCCTCTGAAAGTAGCCTGCATAGCCTGCTTGTTGGCAGGGGACAACGGTTCAAAGTTTGAGTTGACTGGGATGCGGAAGAGCGAGTGGATGGTCTTCCTGTGATGTTGCAGGTAGCTATGCCAGTTGGTGCACATCGTACAATAGGATCAAGCTCATTGTACTCATCGGCCATAGCCTTGAGTCTGGCGGAGATAACCTCAATAGCGTAGGTCTGACCAGTGCCACCTGGACCGTCAATCTGGATGAGAAGCTGGACATCGTTTGTTTGCTCATCATTGGTGAGGTAGGCGTGGTACGACTCTTTGCAAATGTCATACAGTAACCTCTGCTTGCCGACTCGGGTGTCAGCAGTACCTGTAGTTTAGACAGCTAACACAACAGGATGATCAACCTTCTGTTGCTCCCACCACAATGTCTCAACGTCAACGTGAGCTATTCGAGGCGACCAGTCTGCTTGACGATCTTGAAGTCGATATCCAAGTTGAAGAGTCTGAGGTATTTTGTCACCATTGTGCGTAGGCAGTGCCGCAGTGGCTACGCTGATTGGAGCGCGTTGTATACGTCGCTGCCAGGCTCATAAACGATGCTTTGCGATTTGCACACTGTAGGTATAGCGCAATTTTGCTCTACAGATTGCAATGCGACCTACCAACCTATGCTGAATTCCAATCGGCCTTGAACCCTGCTCATCCACAAGCCGCGATGCCTGCAAGCTATGTAATAATGGTGGAATTACACGCGTCTTTGGTCGTCCGAAGCTTCTTGAAGTCGTCTTGGATGATCAGTCCCAAGGACGCGACTTTTACAGCAGCGACCAGGCACCTCTAAATGCTGGTATTTACTCTTTCGAAGAATACATATCGAAACCGAAGGACGGCGAAGACCAAAAAGACTGGAAAGAACAACCCGCATATCAGCTTCGATAAATCCTCTGTCTTGAAAGACAAAGTACCACGCTGCCCCACATACAGACTTGTCAACAATCAAATCAAGTATATTTGATCTGGGGATTGGTGGCAAACAAACAACATTGTGGTCTGTGAACGAGACATACAGCAGAGAGGTCTGATCACCTATCAATAAGAATTTGATCCAGATTTTATTTGATTGGTGACAAGTCTGCCCACTGTTGCGATTCGTGCCTTAAGCAAAGCTCGTAGACACTATTTGATTGATTCTCGGGGATGAGCAGAGGTACAGAAAGCCGGTAGAAGTTGACAGTCACCTAAGCAAGGCTCGGGTGGTCAGGGGTAGACTATCCGGGCGGGTTGTAATAACCTTCGTAATAATCAGGTAATAGCCGTCTAGCCGGACACCGTGACGGCTGGGAGCAATGATTAGTACAGAGTATACTGTCTGGCTCGAGAGCAAGTGAGATTCCAATAACAAAGTTGATTGACGAGGTTGAACACAATGCCATAAGAGCAGCGTGTCTACTTGCTATATACTTGAGCGGAGGATTGCTCAGATCGCTTGGTACTGAATATACTGATCGTACCGAGTATACTGAGCGTGCTGAGTATACTGCTTGTGCCGAGTATACTGATCATTACGAGTATACTGCTCGTACCGAGTATACTGACCGTGCCGAGTATACTGCTCGTACCAAGTATACTGAGATTGATGATCATACTGAGTATCGCCGCCGCGGCCTCACTGCTTGGGTTGATCAATACTACAGTTCTTCGGCTCCTCTCCTATCCTTGCGTAGTCCTGTTCTTTCAGTGTTGTTGCGGGTTGCCCTTTATCGTAACACCCACATAGAGTTCGCTCCGAATCCAAATCTCTCGCTTAACATTGGAATCAAGAGAAAACCTATGTGGTGGTTCATCATTGCAGCTATGGCCGGACTAGCAATACACAGTGGGATGTGTGTACGCGCTGCCTGACGAGCGGGCAGCGGCGGAAGAGATGTTTGATGAAGAGCACCTGCCTCTAGAGGACGATCCTTTCGACAACGACGAGAACTCGTACTCATTGGATTCGATTTGTGGACACAACGTTGTTATCGTCTGCCTATCCGCTGGCCAGATTGGCAACAACCTAGCAGCTTCTGTAGCCATCCAGATGCGGGCGACGTTCAGGCAGCTCCGTTTTGGCTTGATAGTGGGCAACGATGGCGGCGTACCCAGTGCCAAAGACATATGACTTGGAGATATAGTCGTCAGCCAGCCGCACGGCACGTTTGGCGGAGTTGTGCAATACGACATGGGCAAGTCAACAACAGCCGGATTCCAGCGTACAGGAGCACTGAATTCACCACTAAAGTTCCTGCTATCAGCCATGACCAAACTACAGTCAAACGAGTCGAGAGGCCGAAGCAAGCGGAACGACTATGTCAAGAAAGTGGAGGCAGTTCCAACCGGCAAGTTTGCGCGCAGCAACGCCGATTTAGATATCTTGGTCGAGAAAGCGTATATGGACGAGAACGGGCGTTTCGTTGACAGTCGCCCACCACGCAACAGCGCACAACAAGTCGTGGTCCATTATGGCACCATCGCCTCGGGCAACCCAGTGATCAAGGATGCTACTGTGAGAGACGAGATCAACGTAGCACTTGGCGGCGGAGTGTTCCGCTTCGAAATGGAGGCGGCAGGGCTAATGAACAGCTTCCCATGTCTTGTCGTGCGTGGAGTGTGCGATTACGCGGATTCGCAGAAGAGCGATCTTTGGCAGCCTTACGCAGCGGCCACGGCGGCAGCGTACGCAAAAGAGCTTTTATCAATGATTTCGTCCGGGGATGTAGTCAACGTGCCGACAGTAGATGAGACAATCATACTTGCAAGTGGTTAGTGCAGCTGCCACTGTATACGACTGGTAGTACATCGAAACTAATTAATATACGAGCGCATAGCCAAACCAACCTATCACTTACCCTTTCAGAGGAACCGACGCTTTGTTGGATGACAGAAAGAGCTCACCGAGCTGCGGCAGCGGCTCGTGGTAGACCAAGATTGCCGGAAAATGTCTATTCTGGGGCTTGGTGGGACGGGCAAGACGCAGGTTGCGTTGGAGTTTGCGCACTTGGTCAAGGAGGCGCAGCCGGGATGATCGATCTTCTGGGTTCCTGCAATGAGCATGGAAAGCTTTGAGAAGGCAAACCTAGACATTGCAGAAGCCTTCAAAATACCAGAGGCGACGATAAAAGAAGAAGACCCAAAGCAGCTGGTGAGACTGCGGCTGAGCTTAAGTCGAGCAAGACCTTGGCTGTTGACTGGTGACAATGCTGATGATGCAGACATCTTCTTCGGCACTGGACAGCAAAAGGGCATTCACGACTACCTTGCAGGAGAGCGAAAAAGGAATAGTGGTGTATACTACGCGTACGCCAGAAATTGCTGAGCTGATGCCTGGTGATGTCATAGAGCTCGGAGCAATGAGTCGGGAAGACGCAAAAGACTTTCTCGCCAAGTCATTGACAAGAAAGGACCTTTTCCGCGACAACATGACGACAACCGAGCTGGTCGACGAACTGCTGAGCGAGCTGACTTGCCTGCCCTTAACTATCACGCAGGCAGCCGCCTATTTGGATTGAAATCGCATGTCCATCTCAAAGTATCTGTCGCTACTTCACAACACGGAGCATGGCCTCGTCAGTGTTATGAGCCGGGAATTTTGTGATGACACATGGTACAAAGGTTCAGTGAATGCAGTAGCAACGACATGGGTGGTGCGATTTATCCAGATCCGCAAGTACGACACATTAGCTGCGGCTCTGCTCGAGCTCGTGTCTTGTATAGAGTAGAAGGCCACACGAATGGCGTCGCAGCAGGCGCTTGCAGTGCCATACCGCGAATGCGGGCTCCTCCAACTAAACGCAACACTCGCGGCCGGAAAAGTACTCTTCCGGCAAAATATGTATAGCAACAATTTGTCGCATAGGTCTATAGCGTACTCCAACAAAGTATATAGTCGCGATAGCAACTGTGTGTGGTTCTACAGCTTCGTTTTTAGGCAGCCTGTACGAGGCTTCTGGTGCGCGTGCACGACGCGAAAAGCGCACTACACGCACGGACAGGGTGCCCCAGCGGCAAGTGGGTCCCGCCGCCGACAGCAGCGCTGCGGCTTCAGCAATCAACACCAACTACACCACACTCGGTGCGCAACGCCCAACACTCGGCGCGCCCTCAGCGGCATGTCGCGCGCACCGCTCGACGACAACGGCGAGCCTGCGCTATCCTTCCACGCGCACCCGTCGCCCGACGTCCCTTCGCTTGTCCCCGACATGGATTCCTCCTCATACACTGTCTCGCCCGCACACAATTCCGCGCCTTCGTCCACCTCACGCAGCACGACTTGCGCCCGCCGAATGCCCCCTCGAGCGCCTCCTCGCACCGCAAGCGCGCCGCCGACGATGCCTCGCGCAGCTCCTCGCCCACCCAGAAGTCGCGCCTGAGCGGGTCGACCTTCGCCGCCTCGTACCGCGAGCGCCTGCAGACGGCGTACAGCGGGTGTTGTGCGTGCGAGACCGCGTACTACCTCCACGCGGCGCACGTCATCGACAAGGCAGCGGCCGACCTGCCCAAGCTACGCAGGCTGGGGCCGGTGAGTCTGGAGACGCTGGGCGACTCCGACAATGCCATGTACCTCTGCCCCGCCGACCACGCCGCTTTCGATGCAAGAGACCCCCGTCTTGTGGTTGTTCCGACGCACCTCGACTTTTCCATCGGGCACGAAAAGCTCTGGCAGGCGGAGATAAAGACGATGCCAAAGATGCGCATGCCCGTCCAGCCGAGCCAATACGCCGCGCACTGCGCTGGAATGTCAGGGGAGGCGAGAGGCCGCTACACGGCATACATGGTGGTCGACTACAGGCCGGGGCGAAAAGGCAGAATCGGGCCGCCGCGGACGGTCGAGTGGCACGGCGACCCCGGTGCGATTCTGTGGAAGGTACGACACTTGGCCAGCGTCAACCTGGAGGCGCTGGATCCAGAGCCGGCGCATCTGCAAGAGTTGAGGGTGGTCAAGGAGAAGCTGCGGCAGCTCATCGATCTGCAAGAGAGGGGAGACGGCCAGTTGAAGCGGCCGAGTAAGGACTACGAGTCGGATCGATCCACCGGTGACCGGCCACCAGCAGGACCATCCAACGAAGGCGCTCGAGATGACGCTGGGCATGACCAGCCTCGAGCACCGCCACCACCACCGCCACCGCAATCCGGCAACCCTGGTCCCACCAACCAAGACCCACTCGACCCACCCTTCCCAACTACATCATCGGTCCTGCCAGATCCTGCGCTGTGTCCGAAGATGTGCCGCACCAAGCGCAGAGCCGACCTCTCTCCCAGCTCAAACAATTCAGACACACTGCAGATCCCGGTCTCTAACACAGACCGCCCGCGCAAGCGCTCAAAGCCCTCTCAAGACATCGACCCACCCTCCCAACGCCCTTCCAAAGACCGCCACATCTACCGCTGGGGCGGCCCACGCTCCTCCACCGAGGAAAAACTGCGGTACTGGAATCGCTTATTCGGGCACATATTCCGCGGTGCTGGGGAGCCGCCATGATCAATCTTGGCACGACTGGATCTAACATGAATGTCACACGAAGTACCCAGCGACGCCGGCAGCTTTACACGCAAACCGCGCATACCCTGGGCGCTTCTCGTCCAGGCCCTGTTTTGTCCTGAGCGAAGGGAAAGCGGAGCCCGATCCAGCTCCAACAGTAACAAAAGTGTCGAAACGCACCCGGCAACCCAGCCCAGCAGCCCGCTCGAATAAGCAAGAACCACCACGGGACGCGGACCCGAGAAGGGACGCTCTTATATCTCAATGTGTGAATGGATGGCGACGTGGCTGCTTTTGGTGCTGTGGACCGGAACGAGTGGCTAGACACTAACGCGTAGTTACGATCCGCCGGATAGATGTATAAGCATCTCTCTGCTTTGGGCTATCTGGAGCCATCAACGCATCAGGGGATCGCTGCTGTTCCTAACTGCAGACATGCTTTTTAAGGACTAGAAAGAATAGACCGTGCGAATACAGCTACTTATCGTGTATTCGGCCTTGGTAGCCCCTAGTAATGTGCTCTTGTCTAGAGCTTCGTGTCACGGGTATTTCTCCCCTTACATGTACCGGCCAGCCTTCAGACAGACTCTGGAGCTGGGCTGGAGGCTCACAGGCCACCTGTATATATTCCTCACGAACCTTGAGGCTCAGCCATCAAGGATTTGTCTAATCTCATCCCATTTGGCCTCAGACAGCCCCAATCCATCTGTGTCCGATTGCCTGCCTACAGTGACCTCACAATTCAAATCCTTCATACTTCCTCTCAGAAAAGGCAGTCAATTCGCGGCACAGGATCGATACCCAGCCTTTGACGAGGCTGGTAGGATCATGCGTTTCAACTTCTCTATCATAGACGCTTTAGAAAAGAAACAATTGCAATATCATGAAGGATTGAGTTGTTCCGGCAACTAGAGAGAGAAAGGAGCTCCACTCTTTTGGTACAGTCAGATAAACGGGAATTGCCACGATAGAACAAGCTGCTGCAATTGCAGCCGGAATGGCCCAGCGCCATCTTGGGAGGCGGCCACGCTTTCGTTCAAGAAGCGCAGAAACGACTAGCCCTTGAACTTGCAGCAATGTAGCTTGTATAAGGAACCAGAAGTCTGCGTCGTTTGCTGTTCCTTGGAGATGAAGTGAACGGGAGTAACCGAGAGCGAACAATGGGGCAGGAGCCACAGCACAGCTGAAGACTACTAGCCACAAAATGAAAATGTTGGCTTTCTTAGACCCTGCTGTTGTATCAGGCTCACTTGCCTTCCTGGGCCTGCTAGCAATTTGGATTTGACTAAGTTTGTCGTCACGTTTTGTCCCTACATCATTCACTTGTACTAAGCTTCGAACTTCTGACCTGCAACATACATTAGCGTCATCTATCTAAGTTCAGAATCAGCAACTAACCATGTAAGTGAAGGTCGAAAAAGACAGGGTTCGTCTTCGTCAACGCAAAAGTTACACAAGTCGTAATGTAACTTAACAGTTTCGTCCAGCCGCATCCAGCGCTCTTGGATCGGATTGAGGAAGTCCGGGTCGAAAAGACCCTGATGAGCAGTATTAACCATCTGGGCCTGCAGGTCGTTTGCTTGACTCATATACTCTCCTAGAAGATGCACAAAGCCTTCTTGCTTTCGAGACTGATTCCTGGAAACTGGATTACTCTTAAGCACCTCTTTAATGATGCGCATGCCTTCTGTCCAAATAGGAATGAAGCAATTGCTTTTCATGTACAGCTCACTGAATTGACATTGCCCTGAATTGATGTCTTTCCACTGATGTTTGATATCATTACAATCTTCTAACCAACGAATAGCTTCGGCTTTGCGTGTTTCATCTGCAGATGAAGCACCTTTTTGGTGAAACTTTTGAACTCGGAGGACAAGTCGAAGGTCGAACAGAACTAAAGCCCGTGCGAGAGGAACCTGGGCAGACTCAAGAGAAGGTCCATGTCGGTCACAGATGATGAACCTTGGAGCCGTTGGGCCTGCATCGCGTCAGACAACATAAGATTGTGAGCTACTTCGACTTACCAGGCATGCGATAGGCTATGTTATCAGTTCGTTTGCGAAGTCGTTTTGGGGTATTCTTCGCATCATGCGCGGAGCTTGACGCCATCGTATGGGTCCCCGTAATCAGAGCTCGTGATGCGTTGATGGAGATCGGAGGCTTACGATAAGCTTATCAACTGAAGCCCATCTTTCATCTAGCTTTGCCTGCCGCGGTACCGTAGAAGAAGCACAGTTGACGAAGAACAAAGATGGCAGTAATCTATTATACTCATCGTGGCCTCACCGGTCGGCTGACCATCTAAGCCATGTCAGCGTAGGCAGCAACGTTGATTTGATCCACGTTCGTGCCAAGGCCGATGGCGCCTACCGGTAACATACCTGGATAAAGTGGGATCCCAAGACATCCGCTTACCAATTGTAAAAGTTGTGTTGCAGCCGCGTTTTACCTTCACTTTATCCACAATAGCTTTCTTTTTCCGCGCGCTTCGCCCGGGCGTCCTGAAGGTCCTCGTAGCTCATTACTTTGGCCTTCCCAAGGAATACGGACCTAGTGGATCGGCGAGCATTAGACCCGCTGTTATGCTTAATTAAGAGTCCGTTGTGAGCCTGTAGAAGGGTTTGTTTGGCAAAGGACACCTGGGCAGCACTTGCGAGCTTCTGTACGTGTCTCTCTAGGCGCTGTCTCCTTATCTCATCAAGTCCGCAAGTGTCTTGCTTAATTAAGTTGTGCAACGACGAAAGGGCATCCGTTGTGACTGGTGTTGTTGGTGTTACAGGCTATTCTGTAGCGGTGCGGACCGCTGTAGAATACTGATAGCTACGGTAAACGATAACATAGGACTATCGGGTCGATGGAATACTGCGCTGTATTGCTGTCTAGCTATGAGGAGACAACTATATACCTGACCTGTAACACACTAGTCCAGGGTGGCTGATCAGGGGTATAGATAGACACTGTACGGACCATCCGATACCGCAACATATTCTAACACTTCTTCTTGCAGACAGGGCCGCACTACCTCTAGTCCTGGTTGTTCAACTGCAGGCTTGGGTATGCCCTCAAGCACCCTTTGTGGATTAAAAGGGAATAGACCGCTCGCTGCCCATGCAGATTTGATATTCCGCCTAGTAAACGCCGTCCGCCTTGCGGGGTCGTAGAGAGAGGTGAAGTGGCTCTTCTCAACCGTCTCTACACCTTTGCGATACATACGCTCAACCTGATTACGATAGGCTGTCTTTAAGGGTGCGAAAACTCCAACATCACAGGGCTGAAGCTTGTGAGAGGTGTGGGAATGCAGAGGACACAGGATAATGTTGTTCTGAAAGCAAAATTCCAAGACCTCCAGTGTTTCGTGAGTCCCGAAGCCGTCACAGATTAGTACCCGTGGTTTACCACTGGCCCTGTCTCTAGTTTGGGGGTCCAACACACGCCTAAACCATTCTGGGTTCACCTTAGAGTCGTTATCACTATTTTCCGAATGTCTGTAGTGTCAACCAGGCGTCTCATACCTTGTCCAGTTGTCCCGGTGCGTCGACGCGGGCCAAATTATCAGTGGGAGTAGCGACCTACCATCGGCACTTACACACTCGACAGCGGTCACCATTGTCCGTTTAATACCTACACCTCTATAGCCCCTTGAATCGTTCTTACCTAGCAGGACCTTAACAGAGCCTAGCAAGCTTAGCATTACGCCGGTCTCATCCATATTATAGACATTTTCTGCCAGAACAGCCGGGTCATCTAGTACTTTCTGATTGCGCTGAACCATTCCAACACATCATATATGTTCTGGTCGTGACGTTTCCAGTCTATGGGCCTCACTCTCCTTGCTTTGAGTTCGGGATGCCGTCTCTCAAAGGCACGAGACCAGTTCTTGTTCGGGGCTTTCGGGGCGTTCTTCGTCGGATCGTTGGATCGCTGACGGGCAATGCAGAAGGCTAACGATGGTACGTACTTGATTCGCACTGGTTGCCCGAAGTTAGACAGTAGGAGTAGAAACGTTACTAATGCTTTCTCTTCTGCCACGGTGAGTCACTGCTGGCTCTGGGCCTTCTCCTCGAATGAGCGTCGTCCTTGTGCACGATGAAAGATTGTGGTGGAGGGAACGCCGCTCTGTTCCGATAGGGCCGAATATGTTCTACGTACGCCTGGTGGGAGGCGTCGGGCGTGTGCTTGCCTGGCTCGGTCCTTATTAACTGTAGCGGCGTGGGCCGCTGTAGAATACTGATAGCTACGGCAAATGACAACGTAGGACTATCGGGTCGATGGAATACTGCGCTGAGTTGCTATCTAGTGAGGAGAAGACGACTATATACTGACTCTGGAACGTACTAATCCAGAACAGTCTGAGTAAGGGTAATAGGGTCTCGTATGGACCAACTAGTACCGCAACATTAACCATCGTCGGTGCATCCGTTGATGAAAAGGCACGATAGACAGCCCTATGCAATGAGGCGGGACACGCATGCTTGTGCTAAAATTAGTAATACGTGCTCCTTTGTTGCAACGAAGAATGAATTCAAAGAGGCATAGTGTAAAATACAATACACACATGACCAAGCCTGATTTTGGCAAGCGCCATGATGTTGCAGTAAATGCAATAAGTGAAGGTGTAACCGCGCGAAGCAGTAAAAATCGGTATATTCTGTTGTGTTCTTCTGTGATCGTCTCTCAGCCGGCAGTCATCAGGGTCTGTTTACATGACGTATCTGTTTGTGCAGCCAGAAAGTGCTGTTGGAACAGGCAAGAGCACTGCACCAGCACACGTGGCAGACATGACCTCTACACTCCTTAAACCGTCACACATCATGTACCGTAGATCTTCTCGACCGGATAGATACTGATGGCTTCTAGCTGGTCCCTGGGCGTCCTATGATTTGGGAGTACATTCTTACACCACGGATCTAATTGCTGAGCCCTCCGACGCTTATGCTCATAGGAATTTGTGGAGTTACGGTGGCGCAAGGACAACATAGACCCTGATACTCTGAAACAAATGATCGATACTATAGCCAAGAACATCGGACTTCGGTGGTCGCGCATAGGCTTTTTGTGACGGTTAATGGAGTATAGAAGTCATGTGTGCCACGTGTGTTGGCGCAGTGCTCTTGCCCTTTCCAACAAGCCCTTTCTACCTCTGTCTGAACGACAGATGCGTCATGTAAACAGACCCTGATGGCCCGGTGAGAGAGACAGAACACTGAACAAGAACAACAACAATATATACCGATTTTACTGCTTCGCGCGGTTACCCCTGACTTACTGCCCTGCGCGGTTACACCTTCACTTATTGCATTTACTGCAACACTTTTGATAGAGGGGTGTCTGAGGAATGATAACATGTTAATAGTATCTCAAGAGAACAGGTGGGAAAGAGATTATGTAACTACATAGCTAAAGTCACATGATATTCTATTGTAGAAGGCACTGCCCGAGAGCAATTGCACTTACCTCTGAGCAGAGCACTCCTGTACAAGAACATCACCGAACAAAAACACGGATAGCAATACGTCACGGTTTGGGGTACTCCTGCCTGTCGAACCTCACCTGCCTGGAATGACTGTCACGTCACACTGAGTTGTTTACAGCTACTCACCTATACATACTGTCCGTAGCTTCACCGAATACAACCTCAGTTCAATCCTTCAATATTTCCGCACCTGCGTATTGATCACTCACGATCCACACCCCGACACAATAAAATCACTGATCACAGCCTCCGACCGACACTGCTCACGCAGGTACAGAAGATGACGCTGGGAGCCACAGTAGTCATTGGAAGCGCAGGAAGAACGAGGTTGACTACATGAAGGATGCGTACGAGCTGTTCAGCTGGCAGGACTCGCAGCGCTTGCGGGCAATGCAGCTGTGGGCTGCGTTGGATGGCAACGATCCAGATGCTCAGGGGCAGGCATTGCTCAACACGCTCACATCGTTCGCTTCAACGTACGGCAAGCCGTTCAGCAGCGGAAACGTTCACTTTTGTGCAGTGCTGGGCGTTGACTCAGAGATGAACCGCTTGCGCACAGCAAAGAACTACTAGTTAGTACATGCTTGCCGACGTAGTGTACTGCATGTGCGTGCTCAGCGTAGAGAAGCTGCTGCCGTCCGTGTGCCGCGATCAGCAGACCAATGACGATCGCAAGCACTTTCTGAAGGCAGGAAGACGGTATCTGGCCGACGACCCGTACAGCCGGATGAGCAAGACGATCAACATGCTGGCGTATGGAAAGCACATCGCCCTGGAGGCAGGGAACGCAGGCAACGCGTACTGGTCAAAGGACAAGAGCGTCTTCTACTTGCGCGGCCAGCCGATCTACATCTGTCGCTTCCGCAAGATGGCGCAGCATAAGAAGATCGGTTTGCCGTGAGCTGGGGCAGGTCGTCGACGACGTCTTGTTCACAATGCGCCGCTACTTGTTCATCGACCGGCAAGAAAACGGACTCGTCGGCGGGCTGCAGTGGCGTTGATCACAGCCTCCAACCGATACTGCTCACGCTATCACAATTCGACGCTGCAGTTTTGTGATCTCGCCATGTTGCAGATGCAAAGCCAAAGTCGCACTTCCCCTTGTGGATGCACTCGTATTTTATTTGCTACGACTGCCTGATTTGGCCCTTGTCTGCTCCGCACTTTCCTCCAAATGTGTGAAACAACAAGTCGAGCCAGTGGAGTCGTTCTTTAGTTACGTCTGTGCTCAGCACACCACATTTGTTCGCAGCAGTCATCCACATCAGCTCAACACAAACAGCCAAACGTCTGAGTCAGTTCGCTCCCCGTGCCATCTGTTGGCCATGTCCAGCACCTGCCGGCGCATTGTTAAGTCTTTGGAAGCTATCAAAGGACTCATTTACGAGCTCCCAGTAGCGTCCACGCAAGATGAAAAGAGGCTCACACTGGCTAGCATTGTCAAGGCTGTTGAGAGTTAGCATAACTCGACTGATGAGGTCATCTAGCTTCTCTGGATCAACTCTCACAAGCATGGTCTTCTCTTTGACCTGCCTGACAAGTTCGCTTGTGTCCCCGTACTAGTACGCTGTCAGCCTCAACAGTGTTCTGCTACAGTCGCAAAAATCATGAAACAATGGGGTTTCGACCGTTTTGTTGTACTCTGGCGTTGAGGCACTTACATCCCAGCCGATTGGAGCATATAATTCACCATAAATCTGGGAATGAACACCAAATGCTGTACCCTAGACAAATTTGTGCATAAAGCTGTGAATGTACTGTTGGATGTTTGCCCTGCTGGCAAGAAGATAACGCAGCGAATTGAAGGGTCCCGTCTTCTTCAGAACAAAGACCTTGTAAGCATTAGGGCACTATTGGGGTGTTCTGCGCCTGGGAAAAAACGGAAAACTGCGACGGAATTCATACCTTCATCAGATCGACTCTCAGAATGTCCCTCTTAGAGCACAAACAGCGACGTCAATTGGACGAGGAAAGTGGCAGCAAAACACGCTAAGGCACGTAGTGAAGTACTCCGTCAGCAGAGTGCAGCTAATGAACTCACTGCCGACAGGAAGCGGGGATGGTCTCCAATTGAGGAGGGGTGTTTGAGTGAGTACTTTGGTACTCGCTCTCAGAGATGCAGCATCATCCAGCAATGGATGTGAATAGGTACTTTGCATGCGAGATCATTGATGGTGGCCTGACTAAGGCCTTCTTTGAGTGGTTCATGGAGGAGAAAGTACTCAAAAAGTGCAACCCGTACTTGAAGGTCGATTTTGGGGTAAGGGTTAGAACAGAGGTAGAATTGGAAGATTCTACGGAACCAGAAAAAATTTCATGTCTAAGATAGCACACTATCATCGTCGACTCAATGGAAGCTATGCGCCTGACACTTGAAGTAAGCGAATGTACTTTGAAGCAGTCATTTCATTGACAGAAGCCATATTGGTAAACTTCTATCAATCGAACCGGTGCATGCGGCATCTACACACCGTTCCAAGCTACCGAAATGGAAACCCTTTTGCACTGCTGCCGGTCCGTAGTGTGCATACTTCCCGGAATTCGTAACGATGTTCTTAACACGGCGCTCCACAACGGGCTCTCCAATGAGGCACCAACACGTATCATTGAGAAACGTCCCGCCGAAATCATTGATCGTTTGTACGAATCCCTTCTTGCTTGCCTTTTCAAAGACTGTCTCACCACAGGTAACCACCATGGATGTGTTGAGCGCAATTCTTTTACCCATACACAAGTATGCCAAGCGCCCTATCTCCGTGAGCGAGAAATGAGGGTTGCCAAGGGCAATGAGGTCTACATCATCGCTGATGGAAGTGTTGAGCTCCCTCCAGGTTTCCTCCAGCTCTGTAGGTCCTATCTCAACATGCCGGGTCGGTTGTTGTCCTAAACACGCTTCCTCGACAGTGGAAGCCTCGGGCGTGATCCCAACAATGTGAAACATGGCTGCTGCCGAAGTTGTTGCAAAGGCCGCTCCAAATGCTCTCAAATCATCAGCGTCCACGGTAAGATTTGCAAGCCCACATATGACTGGGATGTCGTTGGTTGCAATTTTCCCAACATGATATCCCAGGAGTGGCCAGAAGGAATCATCAACCGCTGCCACGCTCACAACAATACAAGTCGTAGCTTTTCGCATCGAAGTTACATGGCAATCCGCATATGGAGCACGGCCTGTTATAGCTACCAGTATGTCAAGATAGTCAGGGTATTTGAGTGTTCTTGCGCCGAGCACTGAGTTAGCAAACACCACTGCGTTTGACTCTCCCCAAGCGATCTGTTGCCCAAACAGAGGTGCTTCATCGAGAAGGTAAGGTGCACATGTGTAGGTCCCTCTGACACCCATCTTTACGTAACATTCAGCAAGTTCCTCAGACGGCAGGCCTAATGCTTCGAGGACTCCTTGATCTCTCCAGAGTTTACGGTCGATACATATCGCGTTCATGGTGGACGGAATCTTGACATGAGCGCTCATGTCGACAAGGCGTCGTGCGAAAAGTAGGCTTCCGGGACCTTGATAGAAGTTGCCGTCAATGTGTGCCATGTCCACATCAATCAAGGTGTTTGATCCCTCCAGTTGAGCAGCGCGGATGACTATTCGGGTTGCGACACGAACCGCCTCACCGTGCTTACCGTCCAGGCATGCTTGATCATAATGACTCAATTGGAAATCCTGGAGGTCCAAAGATGGCACGACCATCGGAAGCACGCTGATTGGAGCATCGACCTTCGATCCGTCAAATACTGATATTGTGCGACCTTGGATGATGGCTTCCGGGTACAGTCCCAGCATATTGAAATCCTCCTCTTCGAGGCAAACGATTGGTATGCCGAGCCCCATCAGTTCGTTGGCGATCATGACCCCCAAAGTAAGAATTACTTCTTTACGACGAAAAAGGAAAGCTTTTGGGGCGTGTCCATTGGTCAACAATTCGAAAATGACGAGACTTCCGGCACATGAGCCTCGTCCACTGGGTATAGCCAATATATTGCCAGTAATTGACTGTCCTCGCAACGGATGGTGGGTGTCAGTTACAACTCCTGTAGATGGGTCGACTCCGCCCATGAAACTGAGGCCGAGATCTGCAAACAAAAGAGGGCCGGCGGCTGTACCTTCGATAAAGACAGTGCCTTTCATGTGCTGAGACTGCATCTTCAGAGGGGAGCTCAAAGGTATTTGATTGGGTTTGAGAGCAGCGGTCGGGTGGCAAAAGGCTATAAGTAGATGATTCAAGTGAACCCGAGGCTCCCGGAGGGATCCGGGATGGAAGCGCTTATGTAAAGGAACACGACTTTGGGCACACCGTTCGTGTTCCTGACCCGTGCGACTTATCGCGCACTAGCGTGCTGATAAGCGCACAGGCTACCTGTGAGAGGGGGCCAGCTGGGGATACCAACTGCTCTCTGAGATGAATGGATTGGTGGAAGGAAGGTTCAGGCTTGTTGGAGATAGGGGTGTGAATGAGACCAAGTGTAGGAATGCCACAAGTGGTAGAAGGGATAAATGATAAAGAAGGGATCAAGTGTGGGAATACCACAAAGGATCAGTGAGGAGTGAGTTGAGGAATGAATTGAAAGGTGAATTGAATTGAGTTGCAAGCATGAGTTATCTGAGCAGGAGGGCAGACTGCCTTTATAGACAGACTATTGGCTCCTGGAATGTTCTAACTAACTACTAGTCAATATCCGTATAGACCCTATACAGTTTTACCCAGCGCTAGCAGGACCCCTGCGCCTGACCCTTTACGATTTACAACTGCAACAATCCGTATAGACCCCTACCCGAGAGGACACGCGAATTGCACCCTGATTTGTGCCAGAGTAGGCTTAGCGTTAGGGTTTCTCTGCCCAAAACAGAAAGTTTTGACCCCCAATTTGTTTTGCCGATTCGCGATCATTAGAGAGCTTAATGAATTTATCCAAATAGGCTATATTGTGCAGAATTTTACGCTGATTCCGAATCTGACCTTGGATTTTGTGTAGCCAGTCTGGTTGTTCTGATGCACGCATTTGAATACATGTGGCTAAACCTAACTCACTAGCCACACCCTGGCTCTACTAGCCCCACCCTACCGACGTTGTCAGCATGGAGCTGTGATAAAGAGCTGTGATAACGTCAGCTACCCAATATGATACGTGAACAGCAATTTTGCACTCGCAACCAGTTTAGCTGTCACGGTATCCTCTCCAGATCCCCTGACAATATCCGGATCCGCTCTGTACTGTCCCTGACCATACGCACCAAATCCCCAGCGTCCTTATGCGCCTCCAAAGCAGACGTACAACCTCCGGTCACCTCCGGAGCGGGCCTGCAACCCCCAAGGCGGGAGTATTAGAATTCTGCAAGCCCTGCTCTGGGACTTGCAACCCCAATACCTATCCAACTCAGTTCCGATTATTAACCGGTAACCGAACAAACCCACACGTAAGTATATACACTATTGCTGGTAGAGTTCTGTTTGGTACACAACGTCTTGTACCTACTTAGACACCGTACGTAGTAATTGATTTAGACTCCTAGCGAGTCCTAAAGGGCCTCAAGTGTTGAAATATGGGTGAAGGTTAGGATTTTTTTTTTCTGGTTTCTGCTGTAGGAGGATAAAACAAAGCCTTCTGAGCACAACGCTATCCT